TAGAATTTTGTAAGAGATATTTCTTTTCATATGTCATGTTCATTATACAATTGTTACATGCTATTCCTGCCCCAATGTAGCTAGACGGGGGCCATGCTGCATGGCCTGATGCATATATATTGTCTATGGAATTATGAAACAGTTTCAGGCGATGTTAAGTGTTTTTGTACGCGTCGATAAATAAAATCATTAATAATAATGATTATGTTTTGTTGGTTTTGCCGTAGATTCTCTTGTTTGCTAGTCATATCAACCTTTCAAACTGCCAGTTTATGTGTTGGCATATTCCAGTGGCATGTCACTTTAGTGGGCGGCTAGCACTAAGTAACCGGCATATAGTCACGCACGCACGCAATGGCACACACACAAATGCACACACACATGTACACAAACATGCACACACATACATACACACGTGGTCACTGTTCAATAGACCGCCCCCGTGGTCTGGCCCGAGAGAGGAAAGTCGGTGCTTCGATCCCCGGGCGCGGTATACCAAAAAACTTCAAAATGGATCCTGTTGTTACCCTGCCGAAAGCTTGCATTAAGGGGGCTAAAACAAGGATTGGTTGACTTAAACTACGGCATGGTATCTCAGTGGTCAAGAACTATTAAACCAGCATTAGACCGGACTAGTACAAGCAGCCACATACGCCTGCATGCACGTCGCTATACAAGTACAATTATCTTGTATGCGACGTTAAACCCCTATTAACACCACTGCCCAATGCTGTTATGTACCTGTACCTGTTGTTCGCCTTCTAGTTGCGAATGAGTGTCACTGTGACCTCGGCAATCCCAAGATTAAGCCTACTTGAGGCTTTGTATATAACAGTCGTGTAGGTCAAAGTGACCCCAAACAACGATGCATTGTCAACAGTCATCAAGCACATGAAACAGAGCCAATATCGCTGCGGGTGTTTCATTGCATGTTTGTTTACGTCAGACGGGGAAGTGGGTCAGGGGTTGGGGATAATGAGGGTTGAGGTCTCCGCGGATGACGGATCCGACACTTCCTTGTTACGACTCTCTCCATGTTACTGGATCTCACTGGGATTTTCCTTCAGTTTTATTTATCAGTCAGAGCTTACTATGATTATGTTCTTTCGACGTTGCTGGAGAGATATATATGCTTCCTTTAGGTGGTTGTTTTATTTGTTGTTTACGCCGCATTCAGCAATATTCCAGCTACATGACGTCGGTCTGTAAATAATCGAGTCTGGACCAGACAGTCCAGTGATTGACATCATGAGCATCGATCCACGCAATTGGGATACGATAACATACATCAACCAAGTCAGCGAGCCAGTGGCCGTGGCTCTGTGGTTCATAAACACATGCTCGGGATATAGTCGGAATTGAACAATCGACTCTTTTTTTTACAGAGATTTCTTATGAATATGGAAACTTAGGGGTTCGTCGCATTTATTTTCATAAACAACTGTAGTAAGTATTTTAAGGCAAAACAGTATTCATAACATTAATCATTGTCATTGCGTGGATCGTTATACATTTACCAAGATGGTCAACGGCTTCAATCTGCGTCTGGAGGGCATCCGTCCCACAGTGCAGAGCCTGAGGTCGATGGTTGGATCCCGGCCGTGTTATACGGCATATGGGAATTATCTGCTAGGAACATTAAAAAATTCATAACCTGCCTCAGGACGTCTCTCTGGACTTAAACTGCCACAGTATGCTGATTTAACAAATGTGTGTCTGTCTTCCGTGTCTCTTGAGAACTGATTGAGGTTACAAATAACAGAAATGCTCACGGCTAAAAGAAACTTTTTATGCGATAATTATCATGGACAGATCAACTGACAGCAACTGTATTCTTGTGCAACATTTGTTCAGAGATAGATCACTGGTATCAGTCCCGTGAAGATACGGGGTAGAATAGGTCTTCAGCAACCCATAGTATGTCATAGTATGTCAAGGATAACTTAAGGTGCAGCCTAGACGTTCAAAGTGTGTCAATGATAACCCACAGCGCAACCTAGACGTTCATATTGTGTCAAAGATAACCCACGGTGCAGCCTAGACGTTCATAATGTGTCAAAGATAACCCACGGTGCAGCCTAGACGTTCATAATGTGTCAAGTATAACCCACGGTGCAACATAGACTCGCATGGTGTGTCAAGGATAACCCACGCTGCAACCTAGACGTTTATTATGTGTCAAGGATAACCCACGGTGCAACATAGACTCTCATGGTGTGTCTAGGATAACCCACGGCGCAACCTAGACGTTCATAATGTGTCAAGGATAACCCACGCTGCAACCTAGACGTTCATAATGTGTCAAGGATAACCCACGCTGCAACCTAGACGTTCATAATGTGTCAAGGATAACCCACGCTGCAACCTAGACGTTTATTATGTGTCAAGGATAACCCACGGTGCAACATAGACTCTCATGGTGTGTCTAGGATAACCCACGGCGCAACCTAGACGTTCATAATGTGTCAAGGATAACCCACGCTGCAACCTAGACGTTCATAATGTGTCAAGGATAACCCACGCTGCAACCTAGACGTTCATAATGTGTCAAGGATAACCCACGCTGCAACCTAGACGTTCATAATGTGTCAAGGATAACCCACGCTGCAACCTAGACGTTCATAGTGTGTCAAAGATAACCCACGGTGCAACCTAGACGTTCATAGTGTGTCAAAGATAACCCACGGTGCAACCTAGACTTTCATAATGTGTCAAAGATAACCCACGGTGCAACCTTGACGTTTATTATGTGTCAAGGATAACCAACGGTGCAACCTAGACGTTCATAATGTGTCAAAGATAACCCACGCTGCAACCTAGACGTTTATTATGTGTCAAGGATAACCCACGGTGCAACCTAGACGTTCATAATGTGTCAAGGATAACCCACGCTGCAACCTAGACGTTTATTATGTGTCAAAGATAACCCACGGTGCAACCTAGACTTTCATAATGAGTCAAGGATAAGCCACGATGCAACCTAGACGTTCATATTGTGTCAATGATAACCGATGGTGTGCAACAAACACTTTAATAGTGTGTCAAGGATAATATGTATTTAATGATCACATCACCGCAGAGAAAAAAAGTATTTGAAAGCACTAGTTTTCTTTCTAAAGCGCGACCCTGTAGGCAACTTCAAACATTGAAGTATACTGAATACGATTGGAACAACCGTGTTGTGGATCCTAGACTAGTCCTTGACATGTTCGACAGAAAACCAGACAAAAACGAAATTAATGTCATTCCTGACGACTCAGTTACGTCCCATGATAGAAGTCATCCACATCCTCCCCATAACCCATCCAAACAACAACCACCCTCCACTGCTTGACTCTAAGTTAGCCTTCCACGCTTGGAATCTCGTTCGATCTTGTGTACGCGAAACAGGACCATACTCGAATGAATAAGGATAACTAGATTTGTTTTTTCAATTATCAATATTTGACGAAGTGATCGGTTAAATCACGTTGCAGCATTAAAAAGTATATATTAAGTAGCCAGCTCTACATGGTAGTGAACCCTTTACACTTCAATTGCCATAAAAAACCTTTACAAACTTCGTAGTACTTATCTTGAAATTTTTAACATTGTAAATGTTAACATATGTAAACGACCCACTACCAAATTTAGCCCTAAAAGCTGCTGCATAGTGTTTTATGACGCGTAGTTTTACTATTTATTACTTATTTTATCAATTGAATAATTCATTTAGTGACATGACAAAATGGTTAATTGATATCACAAGTTCGATTTAGTTAAATATCCAGAATTCACTTTATGATATCATATGTAATCGAATTTGTGATGTCATTGACTGGTAGCTTACTGTGGTGTGACCTCAAGGAAGAATTCGTTCTTTTCATGAACCAGGAAGTGAATTATTGATGTCACAAGTTAAGTTTTTAGATATCACAATTTCATTTATTGGTATCCAAACATACATAGATTTTATCGATATCCGAAAATCTATTTTGTGTTATCAATTAATGAATTATTGATATCAACAAATCAGGAATAAATATTAAACAGCGCCTCGTACAGTTTACATCCACATGACTGCACGAGTCAAGTCATATTGATGCACAGGAATTTGTTATTGGTCAATAAATATAATGTATACCCCCTATTTGTAAGTAGATATGGTTTATATCTTTATTTACTGACCAATAACGAGTTCCTGTGTATTGATCTCACAGCATATAACGGACCCGTGAAGATCCGGGTTAGAATAGATCTTCAGCAACCCATGCTTGCCGTAATTTCCCAACCTTGCGTGTGGGCGTGACATAGGTGATAAATGCGTGAGACTCACGCGAGATGCGTGAGAGTTGACAGGTATGTAGAACTGTTGCTGAATGCAATAAACAGGACGGTGTTATACATATAGTCTATAATTGAATGGTTTGTTGTAAGAATACACGTGACACAATGACATGATCACTCTGTGATCACGTTTCTGAACGCCAACCGTAGACTGCCTCACTGCGGGTGGAAATATTGTCGTCTGTTTATGTGCGCAGTGAGGTGCGACTTTTGACCTTTGAACTTCTACATTACTACTCTCAGCCAATGGACGCTGAGCATACGCACTGAAATGCTCTGACAAAGACTCGTGGAGTTAAAATATAAAAATCAGGAAGTGGGCGATTCAGAGTGTTTGTTTTGCGAGGTGAGTCGAATGTTAATTCAGCGCCACTTTTAGCAGACGGCAGTATTATTGGAGTCGAGTTGGCCTTGATCAATGTCAGTATCTTCGAGCAGACGACACAGGTTTGAAAGAAACTCGTGTTCGTCTTTCAGCAGATAGATTTGAAAGACACACAAACGAGTGTCCATCTCTTAACAGACAATTTTGGAAGACACAAATAATGCTGTTTTCTCTGTCACTACGTTTGGTTTTCCTCATCGCGATTGTCTTGATCAGTGTGTCTGTCGGAACCAGTGTCACCGTGGAGGACGTCCTTCAGTGTTCTGTAGATGACATATGTTGCACTAACATGACAGAGGACAGATTGCCGAACCTCATCTTGAATTACGACTGCAGTCAGCCTGACAACGTCACCCTTCTCCTACCACCCGGCACCAACAAAACATCCCCATTCCGACTCTTCTTCTCAAACCTGTGCATCACACGTCTCCCTGAGGATATATGTGATTATCCCAACATTGCAAGCATACGTGCGGTGACCGGTAAAATCGAAACAATTCCCAGCCTTAGCTGTCTGAAGAATTTGATAGCTCTGGTACTTGTCAACCAGGAAGTTAAATCTGTTGAGACGGGTGTGTTCGTTGGTTTGGAAAGGTTGAGATACATCGACCTTGCTTATAACAAAATACATACTATTGAGCCAGGAGTGTTCAGTGAAGACTTACATGGATTGATGAGGGTTCATCTTGACTACAACGAGCTGACAGCGTCTGAGGCCTGGCCGATAAGGATTACCCATGAATTCTGTGTTTTCGGCCTTAGTCACAATAACATATCCCACTTTTCAAACGAAGAAAACTGGTTAGTGGATGAATCCAAACACTATGGACCCGGTATGGTAGGCTTTTCTCACAATTTGTTTACGACATGGGTTTTAGAGGAATTGGAGATCTATGGAATTCGTAAACGGAAAATTAGTGGGACATTTGATAATTGGGAGTTTGACTTCAGACATAATAAGTGGATCTGTGATTGCAATTTTCATGAATTTCTCCACCTGTCATCGAATTTATATACGGTAATATGGAGGAACTACTTAAATGTTCTCTGCGACAGTCCAGCTCATCTGAAAGGAAAGCAAGTGCTACGTCTGCCACTGGATGCGTTTGTGTGTAATGTCACGGACAAATGTCCTCAAGAATGTTTATGTCAGGATCAGCCAGCAAAAAAACAGATGTTGGTTGACTGCCGTGGTAGAAACTTGACACGTTTACCGTCCATGGTTCCCGACGGTAATTTAAAACTGCTTTTTGGCGATAATTCCATAACCTTCTTGGAAGCAGTAGGTTATTTGCAAAGAACAAAATATCTTGACGTATCTAGAAATAATATTAAAATTATTGCACCTTCAGCAATTGACCTTTTGCAAAATGGGGTTGCATTTCTGGGCCTATCGGACAATCGTCTTGAGTTTTTACCGAAAAAAATCCAGAACATCCATTATTCTAAACTAGACATCAACAGAAACCCATTTGTGTGCAGCTGTTCCTCCACGTGGATGTCACTGTGGCTCAGATACCAACCTCGGAACTACAACGTCACCGACATCACTTGCTTGATGCCAGCGGGCAATACGGTACAGCTTGTACGAGCGGACCAAAGGTTACTTAACTGTCAGATTCGCAGTCCTTTTCCTAAGATATTCAGCGCCCTGTTGGGAACATTTGCAGTCATATTTGTGCTTTTGGTGGCCCTTGTTGTGGTGTTTCGGTATGAATTGATGCACCTTCTTCATACGGGTGCAAAAAAGCTGAAGCGAACTAGCGATGAGGACTCGGAGTACGATTTGTTTGTGTCGGTGGATGGAGAGAGTGAGTCTGACCGAGTCTGGTCCAAGAAACTGCTTAATGGACTGGAGCAGAATCACAACCTCAGACTGTACTTCCCGCTCCGGGACATGGACCCGGGGACAGTGATCACTGATAAAGTTATCAAGACGCTCCAGAGAAGCCGCGCAGCTGTCATTGTGCTATCTAGTAGCTATGTGGACAATCCCTCCAAGATGTTCGAGTTCACGGAGACCTACAATATCATGGTCAAACAGCGTCGCGGCCGTGTGATTGTCGCCAGGCTCGACAACGTCACCACTGCCACCAATGGCTATCTGAACGCTTTTCTAAGACTCAAGAAGTATATAGATGCTGACAACTGCGACTTGTTCGAAAAGATCGTGCATGAGGTTCAGGAGGAGAAATCTCAAAATTCTCGATCTCGATCTGTGAGCCAAGTTGAAATAATGGCTTAAAAGTAGTGCCTGTCTTGTGATACAAACTTGAGTTTCATCAATACATCAATGCCGGTTATAGTGATTCCTATTGATGTAGGTAATGGTTCAGTTGCACTCAACCAATAAACTACATCATGTTTCTAAGAACTATGTGCCATTTGTGTTTCGTCAAATACATACTATACGTAAAATATACATTCTTAAGTCCATTCCGTGAATCAGCGAAGATTCCAGAGCAGAATAAGCCCAAATATCCATGTTCCTCGCAAGAGACGATTAAGATATTGACCTGTGACTTCTGACTGGTTTCTTGGCTGCCATCGAACCGACGCCTTTGTATGATCCAGGCTTCAATACTTACAGGTCATCGTTATGAGGATTCAATATTATTGGCCTAAGGCTTCAGTACTTACAGGTAATCGTGATGAAGATTCAATATTATTGGCCTAAAGCTTCAGTTCTTACAGGTCATTGTGATGAAGCTTCAATATTATTGGCCTAGAGCTTCAATACTTACAGGTCATTGGGATGAAGCTTCAATGTTATTGATTTTAGGCTTCAATAACTGTTTTAATTGTTATACATACATGTAGGGACACTGCTTGGCGTTAAGCGGCTATTAATTATACCCTGTCGGGCTTTGAATAGTAATGTTGTTCCCATTTCTTGCCATAATAATTTCATCTTTGTACTCAGTATTCTGTATATTCTGTTTTAAAGGTATGTACTCCTTGTCAGATTATGTGTATAACCAATGAGAGATTTTACTGTCACTTTAGTGGGCGGCTAGCACTATGTAACCGGCATATAGTCAGGCACGCACGCAATGGCACACACACTAATGCACACACACATGTACACAAACATGCACACACATACATACACACATGGCCACTGTTCAATAGACCGCCCCCGTGGTCTGGCCCGAGAGAGGAAAGTCGGTGCTTCGATCCCCGGGCGCGGTATACCAAAAAACTTCAAAATGGATCCTGTTGTTACCCTGCCGAAAGCTTGCATTAAGGGGGCTAAAACAAGGATTGGTTGACTTAAACTACGGCATGGTATCTCAGTGGTCAAGAACTATTAAACCAGCATTAGACCGGACTAGTACAAGCAGCCACATACGCCTGCATGCACGTCGCTATACAAGTACAATTATCTTGTATGCGACGTTAAACCCCTATTAACACCACTGCCCAATGCTGTTATGTACCTGTACCTGTTGTTCGCCTTCTAGTTGCGAATGAGTGTCACTGTGACCTCGGCAATCCCAAGATGAAGCCTACTTGAGGCTTGTACATATAACAGTCGTGTAGGTCAAAGTGACCCCAAACAACGATGCATTGTCAACAGTCATCAAGCACATGAAATAGAGCCAATATCGCTGCGGGTGTTTCATTGCATGTTTGTTTACGTCAGACGGGGAAGTGGGTCAGGGGTTGGGGATAATGAGGGTTGAGGTCTCCGCGGATGACGGATCCGACACTTCCTTGTTACGACTATCTCCATGTTACTGGATCTCACTGGGATTTTCCTTCAGTTTTATTTATCAGTCAGAGCTTACTATGACTATGTTCTTTCGACGTTGCTGGAGAGATATATATGCTTCCTTTAGGTGGTTGGTTTATTTGTCGTTTACGCCGCATTCAGCAATATTCCAGCTACATGACGTCGGTCTGTTAATAATCGAGTCTGGACCAGACAGTCCAGTGATTGACATCACGAGCATCGATCCACGCAATTGGGATACGATAACATACATCAACCAAGTCAGCGAGCCTGGCCATCCGATCCCGTTAGTCGCCTTTTACGACAAGCATAGTCACCTTTTACGGCAAGCATGGGTTGCTGAAGACCCCGGATCTTCACAGGTCGCTTCCTTCAGTAGATACGAACATTGGAGTGTTCACGAATAACGTTTAGAGCGAGTCCTCGCTTATGAACATCACAGATATGTTGTTGTTTTATAGTTCTTTACCTCTAAGATATCATGCCGCACCTTAAGTCGTCCAGTTCTTGTTTTATCCCCTGAATGCCAAGCTCCAGGCAGGGTAACAACAAGCACATCTTTTGTATTTTCTTTAGTGGTATAACGCGGCCGGGGATGGAAGCACCGACTTTCCACTCTCCGGCCACGGTCTATTGTGCAGTGACCGTTGACTATGATGATTGCTATTATTTAAAGTCAAAACAGTATTCATAACATTAATCATTGTCATTGCGTGGCCGTGGCTCTGTGATTCATAAACACATGCTCGGGATATAGTCGGAATTGAACAATCGACTCTTTTTTTTACAGAGATTTCTTATGAATATGGAAACTTAGGGGTTCGTCGCATTTATTTTCATAAACAACTGTAGTAAGTATTTTAAGGCAAAACAGTATTCATAACATTAATCATTGTCATTGCGTGGATCGTTATACATTTACCAAGATGGTCAACGGCTTCAATCTGCGTCTGGAGGGCATCCGTCCCACAGTACAGAGCCTGAGGTCGATGGTTGGATCCCGGCCGTGTTATACGGCATATGGGAATTATCTGCTAGGAACATTAAAAAATTCATAACCTGCCTCAGGACGTCTCTCTGGACTTAAACTGCCACAGTATGCTGATTTAACAAATGTGTGTCTGTCTTCCGTGTCTCTTGAGAACTGATTGAGGTTACAAATAACAGAAATGCTCACGGCTAAAAGAAACTTTTTATGCGATAATTATCATGGACAGATCAACTGACAGCAACTGTATTCTTGTGCAACATTTGTTCAGAGATAGATCACTGGTATCAGTCCCGTGAAGATACGGGGAGGATAGGTCTTCAGCAACCCATAGTATGTCATAGTATGTCAAGGATAACTTAAGGTGCAGCCTAGACGTTCAAAGTGTGTCAAGTATAACCCACAGCGCAACCCAGACGTTCATATTGTGTCAAAGATAACCCACGGTGCAGCCTAGACGTTCATAATGTGTCAAAGATAACCCACGGCGCAGCCTAGACGTTCATAATGTGTCAAGTATAACCCACGGTGCAACATAGACTCGCATGGTGTGTCAAGGATAACCCACGCTGCAACCTAGACGTTTATTATGTGTCAAGGATAACCCACGGTGCAACATAGACTCTCATGGTGTGTCTAGGATAACCCACGGCGCAACCTAGACGTTCATAATGTGTCAAGGATAACCCACGCTGCAACCTAGACGTTTATTATGTGTCAAGGATAACCCACGGTGCAACCTAGACGTTCATAATGTGTCAAGGATAACCCACGCTGCAACCTAGACGTTCATAGTGTGTCAAAGATAACCCACGGTGCAACCTAGACTTTCATAATGTGTCAAAGATAACCCACGGTGCAACCTTGACGTTTATTATGTGTCAAGGATAACCCACGGTGCAACCTAGACGTTCATAATGTGTCAAAGATAACCCACGCTGCAACCTAGACGTTTATTATGTGTCAAGGATAAACCACGCTGCAACCTAGACGTTCATAATGTGTCAAGGATAACCCACGGTGCAACCTAGACGTTTATTATGTGTCAAAGATAACCCACGGTGCAACCTAGACTTTCATAATGTGTCAAGGATAACCCACGATGCAACCTAGACGTTCATATTGTGTCAATGATAACCGATGGTGTGCAACAAACACTTTAATAGTGTGTCAAGGATAATATGTATTTAATGATCACATCACCGCAGAGAAAAAAAGTATTTGAAAGCACTAGTTTTCTTTCTAAAGCGCGACCCTGTAGGCAACTTCAAACATTGAAGTATACTGAATACGATTGGAACTACCGTGTTGTGGATCCTAGACTAGTCCTTGACATGTTCGACAGAAAACCAGACAAACTACGAAATTAATGTCATTCCTGACGACTCAGTTACGTCCCATGATAGAAGCCATCCACACCCTCCCTATAACCCATCCAAACAACAACCACGCATCCACTGCTTGAATCTAAGTTAGCCTTCCACGCTTGGAATCTCGATCGATCTTGTGTACGCGAAACAGGACCATACTCGAATGAATAAGGATAACTAGATTTGTTTTTTCAATTATCAATATTTGACGAAGTGATCGGTTAAATCACGTTGCAGCATTAAAAAGTATATATTAAGTGGCCAGCTCTACATGGCAGTGAAACCTTTACACTTCAATTGCCATAAAAAACCTTTACAAACTTCGTAGTACTTATCTTGAAGTTTTTAACATTGTAAATGTTAACATAATAATGTAAACGACCCACTACCAAATTTAGTGCTGAAAGCTGCTGCATAGTGTTTTATGACGCGTAGTTTTACTATTTATTACTTATTTTATCAATTGAATAATTCATTTAGTGACATGACAAAATGGTTAATTGATATCACAAGTTCGATTTAGTTAAATATCCAGAATTCACTTTATCATATCATATGTAATCGAATTTGTGATGTCATTGACTGGTAGCTTACTGTGGTGTGACCTCAAGGAAGAATTCGTTCTTTTCATGAACCAGGAAGTGAATTATTGATGTCACAAGTTAAGTTTTTAGATATCACAATTTCATTTATTGGTATCCAAACATACATAGATTTTATCGATATCCGAAAATCTATTTTGTGTTATCAATTAATGAATTATTGATATCAACAAATCAGGAATAAATATTAAACAGCGCCTCGTACAGTTTACATCCACATGACTGCACGAGTCAAGTCATATTGATGCACAGGAATTTCTTATTGGTCAATAAATATAATGTATACCCCCTATTTGTAAGTAGATATGGTTTATATCTTTATTTACTGACCAATAACGAGTTCCTGTGTATTGATCTCACAGCATATAACGGACCCGTGAAGATCCGGGTTAGAATAGATCTTCAGCAACCCATGCTTGCCGTAATTTCCCAACCTTGCGTGTGGGCGTGACATAGGTGATAAATGCGTGAGACTCACGCGAGATGCGTGAGAGTTGACAGGTATGTAGAACTGTTGCTGAATGCAATAAACAGGACGGTGTTATACAT